CCAGGCCTGACTGCAAAGAACCAACTCCATCTCTCCTCCTTTGCCACATGAAGGACAGAGGCCAGGCAATCTGGCATAAGCATTTGACTCCTACAAGAGTACCCCAGGACAAATCTAGGGAGGAAGGAAAAGAGACCAGAAAGTGACAAGACAGACTGCTTTATTTATCAAGCAATAAATGAAACAAGTTGACCCAGGTTATGTTTAATAGTCCCATTTAGAAATTTTTGCTCTTTCCAAGAAGCGTCAGGTGTCCGCAAGCTCAATTATTTTTTAACTTTAGCAGTGATCATAATCTTCCTACTAGGCTTGGGGTTCAACCAAACTCTGGGGGAGTTCCCAGTATTGAGTCTCACCTGCATCTCTTCCTCTGAATCCTCTTGCCCTGATGTTAGTGGGGTCCACATCAATCTTGTCTCCTTTTGGCTTCATGGAAGGGTAAACCAAGAGATTCTCAAACTTTGGGGCACATTAAAATCATCTTGGGAGAGAGTTAAAAATCATTGTTCAAGTCTAGGTCTCATTCTCAAGGAAATAATTCAGGAGATCTTCGTAGTTTTAACACTCTCTGATTGAACCCTGTTCTAGTTTTCTTCTCCACAACTGTGATAAAAACACTGACCAGAACCAACTTGGGGGGAGGAAAAGGCTTTACCTTCAGCTTACAGTCCATCATGGAGGGAAACCAGTGCAGGGGCTGAAGCACAGACCACGGAGAAATGCTGTTTTCTGGCTTGTTTCCCTGGTCTGTGCTCAGTCTGCTTTCTTTTACAACACAGAACTACCTGCCCAAGAGTAGCACCACCCACATCACTCCCACATCACTCAATAATCAAGAAAATGCCTCACAGACATGGCCATAGGCCTGTCCAATGGAGGCAATTCCTCAGTTGAGGCTCCCCTCAATCCAAGTGTGTCAAGTTCACAACTGAAGCTAGCCAGCACAAACCCCGAGCCTAGTAGGTCCTAGGATCTTTGAATTCCACCCTTTGCTGCTAGAAGGCATAGACTAATTCAGAGTCCCCTGTTACAGGTGATTGTTTTCACCCTCCAGTCAACCCTTTTAGAACTTTTATCCCAGCCTATGTGCTGGACTTTAGAGCCTGTTGACACAATAGATTATAAATTTCCATAGGACAGAAGACCCATTTGAACATTCAATAGATCGACGAGTGAATGAATGAATGGGTGAATGAGGAAGCTGTACTTTTTTGTTTTTGAGACAGGGTTTCATGTAGTCCAGGCTGGCCTTGAATTTTCTATGTAGCAAAGGATGACCTTGAACTTTTGAATTTCCTGCTTCCACCCTCTGTACTCTTTAAAAATACTTTGTTTATTTATTTATTATTATTGGCAGAGTCTCCCTAGTCCCAGCCCACCTGGAACTTACTATATAGACCAGGCTGGCCTCTATCTCACAGAGATCTACCTGCCTCTGCCTCCTGAGGGCTGAGATTAAAGGCATGTACCACCACACCCAGCATTTTATTATTTTTATTTTATGTGCATTAGCATATTGCCTACCTGTATGTAAGTGCACCCATGTCATGCAATACCAGGGGAGGTTAGAAGACAGCATCAGATTCCCTGGAACTGGAGTTAACAAATGGTTGTTAGCTGCCATGTGGGTGCTGGGAATCGAACCAGGGTCCTCTGCAAGAGCAGCCAATGCCTTTAACCATTGAACCATCTCTCCAGCCCCACCTTCTGTACTCTTGAATGATACAAAGATACTTTCTGGCCACTAGAGACCCTCAAACCAACTCTTAAAAGAGACAAGTGCTGAAGCCGAGAAACCTCCAGCTTCATGAAAGATCCTGCAGGACTGGTGGTGAGACTGGCCATAAGTGGGAGTCAGGCAACGTTCCTCACCAAGATGCTAGAAGGCTCTACCCTTCTCCCTGGCCCTGGGCCCCAGGCTTCTATGGAAGCTGGGCTTGTCCAGCGGTGCTGGGTAACTTTCCTCCATTCAGGCTCATTACTCATCATTAGGAGTCCTGGTGTCTGGAGTTTTCCAGGTGATCAAAGCTGCTCTGTCTAGAGCAACCAGCAGGCCCTGGTGTCTGTCACCGCTCATCTCCTGCCTTGCCAGGCAGACAATTGAGTAACCCAGGAAGAGGGGGATTTGGTTTTTAAGCTCATATAATTCAGCCTGACACCTGAACATGCAAGTGGGCTGTTCTGGCTCTGGCTTGGGAGGCTGCACCCAGCTGGAGGGGTACAGACGGCAGGAACCGCTGTGGCTTTCTTTGCCGCAGTTTAGTTTGTGGAGTCAGTTTGGAGCTGGTGGGCACGCCTCCTCCTTGCTCCCATGGGGAGGAGCTGGGAGTAGGCAGGGGAAGCCACAGCTGACTTGGCATTTGGTACCTCTTGCCTTCTCCTACAGTTCCACAAGAAACTTGTTCAAATAATACCCATGTCTATTGCTCTTCCAGACCCAGCACTCCTAAGGGGGTTCTTTCTCTGTTTTTTGTCTTCAGTCTGTGATGGGGCTCAGGATCCAACTTGCTCCCCTGGCCACAGATCCCTCCATACTCCCACAGGCCACATTATTGCATATAAAACCTGCCACAGGCAGAATGCAAGTCAGCACAGCTCTAGATAGTTCTGTGCATTCTGACTTTTCAGTACTGACCATGGATTCCTTCACTGACAAAGAAACAGATTTAAATGATGCTTAAAGCAATGTATACATGTAGCATTTCTTGATTAAGAAAGAAGTTTGTGTGATCTAAAACAATTTTTTCTGATTTCGTACAAACCTTTTGTAAAAAAGTTTGCTCCTCCTTGCTCTAGGCTCCATCACTCTTCTTCAGCACAGGGAGCAGTCCAAACTAAGAGTCTGCCTGGAAAGATGCTAGTCTGGGAAACAGAGGTGACTTAGCTAGAAGATTTTATCGACTAAGAAGGCTGAAGCAAGAAATTGCAAATTGAAGGCCTTTCTGAACTACAGAATAAGTTCAAGACCCACCTGAATTTTTCAGTGAGACCCTGTTTTAAAATAAAAAAAGTTAAGAACCTAGTCGGGGGCCAGGGGCAGGGGGAAGGTTCACTTGGCAAAGTGCTTGCCTTGCAAACAGGAAGACATGAGTTTAATCCCCAGAACATACATAAAAAAGCAGAACATGGCAGTGTGGGCTTGTAATCTCAGTGCTAGGGAGGCAGAGGCAGGCAGATTGCTGGGGCTTGCTGGTCAGCCAGCTTAGTTTACTTGGTGAGCCCCAGGCCAGTGAGAGACGCTGCCTCAGAAAACAAGATGGAAGGTTCCTGAAGAATGACACCAGAGGTTGTTCTGTGGCCTCCACACGTGTATGCACAGGTGCAAAGCACCCATCTACTCCTGAACACACACACACACACACACACACACACACACACACACACACGAGTAAAGGGCTGGGGATATAACTCAGCGGTAGAACACCTGCTTAATAAATGCAAGGCCCTGAATTTAATCTCTAGTTCTGCATTTTTAAGGTTTATATCAACATCAGGTATCAGCTTCATAACAGTCTAAGAAAATTAGTACTGGGGCTGGAGAGATGGCTTAGCAGTTAAGAACACTGGCTGCTCTTGTAGAGAACCAAGGTTTGGTTCCCAGCACCCACATGGCAGCTAACCATCCATAATTCCAGTTCCAAGGAATCCAATACCCTCTTCCAGCCTCCACAGGCATTGCATAACATGGGTGCACTTACATTTGTGTAGGCACAACACTCATACACATAAATAAAAACAAATAAAAATTTAGTTAAAAAGAAATTAACATTGAAAGTGGGGATAGAATATTCCAACCCCTAAGACTGGCAGCTGGCATAATGTCACACCCTTCCCAGTATGCTCTTGGGGAACTTGCTATGGCTCTCTTTTAAGTTTTCTTGCTTCAGGTAAGTTCTGTACCCCAGAGTGAGTGGATGGGGGCTCTCAGACATCACTCCAGCCTTCAGTGGGGCTTCTCCTCCCTGCCTGGAGAAGGGCCAGCTCCAAGCTGGGCTGGGCTGGCCTGCTCTGCTCCTGTCCAAGACAGGCTCCTGTCTTCAGAGCCAACTCCCACCAGCGTGTTTTACATATTTTAATTAAAGTGCCGCCCTGGGCTGGCAGGGCCTCTGATAGATGGCTGCAATCCGAGGTGCAGGGTTGCAGTGGTGCAAAACTTGGCATCCGAGGATGCATTCCTGCTCTAGAGAATGCTTTGGCTCCCACCTCTGGAGGCAGCTTTGCTCCAATCCGTGAGGAGAGGCAAGCAGCAGGCAACAGACATGGGCAGGCGCCAGGCACATCCAGAGACAGGAGAAGAGTTAGGGTAGGAATGTGCCATGGATGGGTTCTGAGGACCAGCTGGCTGTGGGCTATGGATGAGTCCAATTCTTGCAGACACACAGCCCTGTGGACACTCCTTAGCAATGTCGAATTATGACAAATGGCATGGCTAAAAGTTGCTGGGTGGCAGCTGCCGCATCTCAGAGGGAAGCAGGTATTTTTAGCACTGTGCCTTGGGCTCTGGTGCTGGGTTAATTAATCATGGTGAACAGCACCAAGTTTTGTTCTTCATCCTCGTTCCTACCCCCTTCACTGTCTTGTTCCCATTCCCCAGCCTGGAATATCAGCTGTAGAGCTGGAAATAGTCCAGAGCTGCAGCAGCCCCTCATGGCCTTCACACACACAGCACGGGGCATGAGGCATCTTCCGCTCCTCCTTGGCTGGTCCTGTAGCCTTTCTTCTTGCCTCCTTCTCCTGCTGTTTCTTTCCTCCAGCCACACAGCATGGTCCAGGTCTCCTCTGGTTCCTCCAGTTCGATCCTGCTGTCCCCTTGATGTTCCTTCTTCAACATTATCCCCAATGCATCCTGTCTTACCCAATGCATCACTTCACACACAGACTGCCAACCTACCTCTCTACCCCAGCCCAAGAGCTTCCTATTGGCTTGGCCTCTCCTTTAGGGACCCAGTGCCAGCCCTTGGTCTTACGTGTTTATTACTTGTATTACTCTTTCTTTCCAGTCAAATGCTGGTTGTCTGAGAAGAGGATCTTTTGTGCCTTGTTCTCTTTCTTGAACACCTGTTGCCAGCTCAGCAGACACAGGGTAAGCACTCAATGGATGCTGCTAAGGGAACGGATGGATGGATGGATAGATGGATGGATGATAACTAGGTGGATAGATGGGTGGATGGATGAGTGGATGATTAGGTAGATGGATGAGTGGACAAGCAGATGGATAGATAGGTTGATGGATGGGTGGGCGGAAGGCTGGCTGGAAAACCCTTTTTGGAACATGTAAGAAGAGGCTGGTTGTGTAATAGCTTCACTCAGGCCAGTGTAGCTACCATGAGAGGCACAGGTCCAGGGGATTCTGGGAAAAGAGTGAATGGCCGGGACCAATAACTGTCCTCTGTCCTTAGAAATATCCATTTGTGTGTTTTTGGGGAGTGGGCTATGCTACTCGAATTCTGTTCTTTTCCCCGATCCTTTTTTCTCCTTGGGGATGAGGAGAGATAGACATGCTGTCTGAAAGGTGACATAAATAGTTCATCTGAGGATTAAGCCAGGTCCTTTCTTAAAATACACCCATGCTCTGTAGAAGATACAGCTGGCTGCTGGTCCTCTTTGTTTGCTTGAGTACAAAATCCCAGTTGGTTCGGCTATTGAGAGCCTGTGCCTTAGGGGGACTAGTCTGGCCCTGGCCCAGGAAGGAAACTGTGACTACATGAGCCAACTTTGGGCGCTCCAGCCCTCTAGCCCAGTACAGGGTAGAAACCGTTAGGAATGCCATTCTAACAGGGCACAAGAACTTCTAGCTTCTGAATTTTCCTTACTTGACAAAGGAATGACAGGAGAGGCAGGAGTGGGCTTCATGTCCTCTCTAATTCCTCAGAGGATCAGGGTTTACCCTATTCACCAAGGTGAAGCACATGGAGGAGGGGAGTCATGTGGTTTCCATTCGAGTTGGGGACAGATCTGGCAGGAATGGTTCTCAGACCCAGTGCCCAACTCAGGAACCATTAATACATGCTACCTGTGAGCCTCACCTCATCAGACAGAACCAGACTCTCAGAAGGTAGGGCCTGGGTCTCTGTGGAGTTGCCAGACCCCTTGTGCCCCCCACCCTGATCATCTTAAGACACAGGGAGTCTGTAATCAGCTGAAACAGACTGGGGCAGTGGACCCTCCTGACAATGGTGTTTAAGGTCACAGGGTTGTTAAAATTCCTTTCACTTGTAGCTGGGGAGATGGCTCAGTGGTTAAGAGCCCACTGGCTGCTCTTAGAGAGGACCTGGGTTTGATTCCCAGCACCTACATGACAGCTAACAACCATAGGATCTGACCCTCTCTTCTGGTCTCCTTAGGCATTGCATGGCACAAACATGCAGGCAATATATTCATAAACATAAAATAATAATAAAACACCCAGATTTTTATTTCTCTTAGTTTTGGAAGCCGGAAAGTCTGAAATCAAGGTTCAGTATGGTACACCTACATTCATGCAGACAAAACATTCATACATATAAAATAAAAATAAATTTAAATTCCTTTCTCTTGATATCTTGAAGGGAACAGATAGATCAGCAGTCTTAATCCCTCAGATATGTGGGAGGAAATGTGGTATGGAAGGCCAGGCCTGACTGTGAACACTCCCGGTGGAGGACACTCAGAACTTGCACGTCCAGTGTGAGTTATTGTCCTGCAGGCACCTGAGGCCACCAGGCTTGGTGACAGCACTCCCTGGCTCTCAGTTTCCTATAGATGGGGACTACTATATTGTCCTTTCTGTTTCTGAGAAACAAAGTGGAGAAAATGCTGTCCTGTGCTGACTTCTGTGACTTTTGTTGTCACAGCTTCGGTTGTGACTTCCACCGTTCCCTGTGGGAGACAAAGAGGCAGAGAATGAGAAAGGAAGACAGACGGAGTAAACGAGAGAAAGGGAAACAGGATGAGACTAGAGGACAGACACAGCCTCCCTCTTCCTTTCACTGGTTCAGGAAATACTTATGCACCCAACACACACACACACACACACACACACACACACACACACATATATTTTTCCTTTCTTTCCTGTCTTTTTTGAGACAAGGTCTTGCAGGCAATATATTCATAAACATAAAATAATAATAAAACACCCAGATTTTTATTTCTCTTAGTTTTGGAAGCCGGAAAGTCTGAAATCAAGGTTCAGTATGGTACACCTACATTCATGCAGACAAAACATTCATACATATAAAATAAAAATAAATTTAAATTCCTTTCTCTTGATATCTTGAAGGGAACAGATAGATCAGCAGTCTTAATCCCTCAGATATGTGGGAGGAAATGTGGTATGGAAGGCCAGGCCTGACTGTGAACACTCCCGGTGGAGGACACTCAGAACTTGCACGTCCAGTGTGAGTTATTGTCCTGCAGGCACCTGAGGCCACCAGGCTTGGTGACAGCACTCCCTGGCTCTCAGTTTCCTATAGATGGGGACTACTATATTGTCCTTTCTGTTTCTGAGAAACAAAGTGGAGAAAATGCTGTCCTGTGCTGACTTCTGTGACTTTTGTTGTCACAGCTTCGGTTGTGACTTCCACCGTTCCCTGTGGGAGACAAAGAGGCAGAGAATGAGAGAGGAAGACAGACGGAGTAAACGAGAGAAAGGGAAACAGGATGAGACTAGAGGACAGACACAGCCTCCCTCTTCCTTTCACTGGTTCAGGAAATACTTATGCACCCAACACACACACACACACACACACACACACACACACACACCCCTAATTAAATACACCACAGACCCCATGGTGTCTCTATAAGCTCCCAAACCCTACCCGCTCTTTGGTAGAATCCAGAGGCTGCAGTTTCTGTGAAAACCAGTAGGTGTCATCCTGTCAGCAGAAAAGCTAGGGGACCCCATATTTGTAGGTAGCCAGCCACCTACAAAATGAAATTCGATTTCATCTAGTTATCTGAGTGCCATTATGTGTGGGGCAGCAGGCAGGACACTTGAGGGTAAACAGGGTGAGAAATGCGTAATCTCTGCCTTCATGGAGTTTACTGTGCCTAAGGGACCTGGAAGAATTAGTCCTAAGTAACAGGAGGCAGAAGGCAGTAAGTAGACTATGCCAGGTCTTTGAGTATTGGAGTCTGCAGAGAAACCTCTCACAATGTAGTCAAGGGAGCAGGCTCAGAAAGGGTAAGCGACTGACCTGGGATCACACAGATAGTTCAGACTCTAGGGCTCCTGGCTCTTAGAAAAGTAGGTACTCTTTCTCTTTCTTTCTTTCCTTTCTTTCTTTCTTTCTTTCTTTCTTTCTTTCTTTCTTTCTTTCTTTCTTTCTTTCTTTCTTGTTTCTTTCTTTCTTTTTTCTTTCTTTCTTTCTTTGTCTTTCTTTCTCTCTCTTTTTCTTTCCTTCCTTTTTTCTTTTTTTGTCTTTTTGAGACAGGGTCTCCCTGCAGCCCCAGCTGGCCTGGAACTTACTATGTAGACCAGGCTGGCCTCAAATTCAGAGATATCCACCTGCCTCCACCTCCCAAGTGCTGGGATTAAAGGTATGTGCCACCATGCCCAACGTAGGTACTCTTTCTATCTAGCACTCTATCTCAGTAACTAGAGCCTCTTGTGATTCATAATTCCCCCTTCATCTATCCACAAACTTCCCTGCAATATGCCCCCTGTGATGACTAACATTAGATATTCAATATTAGATATTCAACTAATATTAGATATTCAGCCTGCATCTCAGAAAAGGCAGCAGCCCTCATTCTAGGCTCTGTGGTGCTTTGGAGGCAGCCTGTCCAGGCTCATGAGAGTTCATTTTGGTAGCTTGAAATTCTCCATGCTGGGAATATTTACACCATGGAAATTGGCAGCAACTACCATCAGAGCTTTATTTTTCTCTCACAGCACACCACAGCTCTCACAAAATTGGAGAAGGAAACTGAGGCTCAAGAAGATAAGGTGATCTATCGAGGAGACATGGTTATAGGTGGCAAAACTGGCACTTTAGTGCTGGTGGTTTGTGATGGAATGCTCAGAGATGTGAGATTCAATAGCCCTTGCAGCCACTCAGATGTGAAGGGGTCTAGCTTGATCCCAGGCAGCTTCCTCAGTTTTGTTCTGCAATGATAAAATAAAATACCAGAGGCTAGAAAATCTATAAAAACCAGAAATTTGTTTCCTTACAATTCTGGAAGCTGGGAAGTCCAAGGTCAAGGTGTTGGTGTCTGGTGACGGCCTTCGCACTGTGTTAGCCCATGTGAAAGGTAGTAGTGACAGAAAGACAAAATGGAGAGGAGAAACAAAAGGAGGGCAGATGGACCTTTTCATAATAAGGAACCCACTCCATAAATAACGGCATCCACCCAAGAATACTCTGCCTCTCAAAGCCTCTTAATACTGATAGGATGATACATCCTAAAATGAATTACGGAGGGGACAGACATTCAAACCATGGTACCAGGTTTCTTCCTGTTGGTGTGAATGTAGCTGCTATCCCAGGTAGGATAATTCATAGGACAGCAGCAGCAGCGCAGAAACCACCTTTGGTGAAGTGATAATCCATCCAGTTCTGGACACATTGGCTTCAAGGCTGGTTATTGGGGAGACATCTGTAGCCCAGAAGAAAAACTGGCAAGAGACTGCAATCTGCAAAGGCGGAGGTTCATTCTTGACTGAGCCAAATGTGGAATAGCTAGAAACATTTTCCTCTTATAATAATCAGATAAAAACATGAGATTCACCCTTCTATACGAGTTTCTCTTATTTGTTAACTTCAGATATGTTGGGGAACGTGTACTTGCTCACACATGTTCCCTGGTCCTAGAACCCAGTGAGCATCAGGAAGATTTTACTGAAGGAACATGAATGACTCATTTTTGTCCCACAGATACTTAATGAGCCACTTCCGTAGACCATTCTTCAAAAGTACATTTCTCACAACACAAAGATCATGTAGAATATAGACTCAGGATCAGATTACTCCTTGCATTTTTGAGCTGGAGGGATCAGGCATCTTCTCTTACAATGACCTTTTCTTATTGGTGATGTAATAAAGCCCAGACACACTCTAAGACCATCCTTCCATGCTCCTTGTAGGGGTTGGAGGCCACTCAGGTTTGGCAACCTGAGAGTCTGACCTGGTCTGCCGAGTCTTGGCCTATTTTCTTCCCTCTCTGGGACTTGATTTGCCCTGGGGTTAAAGGAGAGCTTGAGCTCTGGTTCTAGAAGGATAAAGAACTGATGAGAACCCACATCTCGGAAGACTTGGGAAGCACTGGTAGAACTGTAGGTTATCAACCAAGGAAGCTACAGTAATGCAAAGTAGTGAATGAGGGTTTTCCTCCTGATTGGCTGAAGGAGCCTTGATGTCACAATGCAGAGGGTCTGTCCACTCCAAATGATAGTGCTTCTAGCCAAAAATAACTGACTCCACTGGTCTTTGGCTTCCTCTCTGGTAGAAGGAGGTGATGGAAACCCTCTTTCAGGCAGGTTCCATTCTCATGAAGGTGAATACCTTACAGGGGAAGAAGATGGTGGAGAGCAGGCTCCACTCTGGAGACTTCTCCCTGGCCCAGTCATGGTATTTCTGCCTCCCTCCACCAGCAGACTTGGAGATCCTGCAGCAGAAGGTGGTCGCAGTGCAACGGGAGCTGGAGGACTTTAAGAAGGAGGCACTGAAGGCCATTCGTTATTTGGAGGATACCTTCTGTGAAATGAACAGTGTCCTGGCACAGCAAGAGGAGCAGGGGGCCCGAGTAAAGCGGTTGAGGGAGGAGGAGGACCGAGGCATTGTGCGCAACAAGGTGCTCACATTCCTCCTGCCTAGGGAGAAGCAGTTGCAGGAGCAGTGCCAGCGGCTGGAGAAGACGCTGCTCATCAGAGGCGGCCACCCATTGGCTGCCATCAGGAAGACCCAGGCTGACTGAGCGGCCTGTGCCGGCACTGGCGACCAACTGGAAGATAGTTTTTTAACAGGAGGACAAATGCTAAGTCCCCACTTCCTTCCCTTGCCCTATTTCTATTGCTTTCCTGCTACCAAAATAACATCTTGCAGAGAAGCAAAAATACCTTAAGTATGGTTTAATGATGGAGTTCCATTTTTTCAGCCTTACCAAGGAAGGAGGCCCCAGACACTAGTCAGACACCTGTGACCTTCACCACGAACTGTTTCCTGTCTGTAATGGTAACATTGTTTGGATGTACAGCATTTTTCTTGTATATTCTTAAACTAGTTGTGTTGAATAGATTTATCTTTCTTTTAATGACTCCAGGCTCTCATGATTTGTCACTTAACACACGGTCTACTGAGACTTGTTAATGTGTGGTCTATATGGTCTATATGGGGTCTATGTGAGACCTGTTAATGTGTGGTGGTCTATATGGTCTATATGGGGCCTAGTGAGAGGGTTTGCCCACACACTGAAATGGCCTCGGATAGTTGAACTTCTATAATACTTGACCTCTCTGCTTGGTTTTCCTGTCTGCTTTCACGATTGGGACTCTCTCTCTCTCTCTCTCTCTCTCTCACTTTTGCTCAATTTTGCTTCTTCTCCTTTTAGCCTGCAGACAGGCAGATCGGTTTGGGTGGAACTCTGAGTGCTGGTGCACTGGTGGCTACACCTGTAAGATGGCACGATAAAGCAGTGACACTGACTTCTGTGTTTGAGTCAAGGAGCAGGGCTTGTTGTCAGGGCGTCTGGCCATTTATCAGACAATGCACACCCCACCCCTCCTCTTCAGGCACTTTCTGAGGGGTAGGCCCTGTAGTTTTTACATGGTAAACTTGGCCACAGGAAGCAGAACCCTGTCCCCAACGCCTTCTCTATGCTAGTGTCAAGTGCTTTACATCTAGGTCACATGTGTTCACTCGCCATCTTTCAGCCTCCCAAGTCCCACCTTGCCTTTGGAACCAATCAAACCGCTTCTGGACCAGTCCTTCTGGAGCTCTGTCATTATCGCATGCATGATTTGGGGATCACCACCCATCACTGGGCCTTTTATTTCCAGTCAGCCTTTCTTTGTCGATTCATGGGCCCTTTCTCTGCCCCCCGCCAAAATGCTGCTATCACATTAGCCAAAGTGAAGGGCCCAGAGGCCAGAGCCAACACTGAGCACCTGGGTCTGTCCAGTTCAGGGCTTACAACCTGGTCCCTGCCCTCTGACCTCTTATTGCAGCCTCATAATCTTCCTCTTTCACCCATAGACTCTCTCAAATAAGATCCAAACACACAGTGAATGTAACCAAAGGACCTTGGTGACGTATGGTTAAAGGCAATATTATCCACAAACCATCTCCCAAGAAGGGTTGCTTCCTTGTTCTAACTACAGATAGCTTCTGCTGTGAAGGTTTAGCTGAAGCAGCAACCGTGGTAATTTAGCAATATTAATATTACTACTAATATAATAGCTTACAATCATCAACCGTGCTTGGCCCTTTAAAGATAGATACTGTTACTTTGGGGAAACTAAGGCTCAAAGAAACTGGGTAACTTACCCAAGGTCACAGCTGGTAGACTTGGGATTTGAACCTAGGGCTATCTGTGCTCTTAACCACTATGGAGTATTTTTGGAAGGCTTATGATGTTTTGGTCTGATATATACTTCCAGAGTAGATGAAATAGAATTTTGAATTAGTGGGAGAAAGGATTGTTTCTTAGAGGAGATTCCTACACCCCTAAACCTTTGAGGGTGTGAGTGTATGTGTTCAAATGTAACTGGGAAGGAGAGCTTTATTGGCTAATAAAAAAAGGTTTACAAGTATTCATCCACCTTATGCAGATTGAAGGCTAACTCATGAGGAAAGGATTTGAGTCTCTGCAGGTTCAGCCTGCCATGCACCTGTGGAGGAACCATGGTGTGTGAGTGTGTGTGTGTGTGTGTGAGTGTGTGTATGTGTGTGTATGGCAGGTTATGAGAGGAGAAGAGGTTAGGAGTTTAGTGACAGTATGACTACATTTGGCGTCATCTATGTTTAGTTCTGTTCCTACATTTTTAGACAGTCCTAGACAGCCCAAAGCATGGCCAGAGCATGGGACAGGCCAAGAGATCCTAAGAAGGGGACACAACATGGGGACCTTGTCAGAGACATTTTGAGGAAAGACTCAATGATGATTTTATTAACACTGTAAAGACTCAATGTATTTTTGAGGCTTGAGGGGCCTAATAAATGTTACCCCTCTTTTTCCTGCTTGGTTTAAGAACAAGTTAAGGATAAATAGGAGGCAAGCTATGGAGACTAAACATCCCTTTATAGCTGATAACTTGCCTGGGCTGTGGTTTAGGGTCTTCTAACCACATGGGCTGGCTGAGACCTTATCACTGAATCTGATGTCATCTCTAGGCACACTATAGGCAGAGATGGACAGCTGAGGGTCCCTTATCAAAGGGCTGTTGCTGTGGACCTGTGGAATGACCCAGCTGTAGAGGGACAACTTGGGAGAGAGGAAGAAAGGTATCCTGGGCAAGTGCTGCTCTTTCTCCAAACTCACAAGTCAGGAAGTTCTTCCTTTGGGAGGAAAAGGTGAGGAGACAGAAAAGTCAAGAAAGCTACCGGAATGCACGTCCCTCTGTCATGAAACAGACTGGGAAATAAGTAATGAGGAAAAGGGATCAATTGAAGGCACTTAATTCTGTAGAGTTGCGGTAGTGACAACGGATGGGTGCTTGCAGAAAGAAGACCTCAGCCCTGTGAAGAAACAAAAATGACATGTGGTGCTTATTATGTGTCTGGCTCTAAAGGGTTCCATTATCTGACCTGGGATGAAGACATCTTGGAAAACCCCTCACATTTCAAAGACTCTAGGGAGATAGCCTCTAAGCCATTGTGGTACACTGCCTGTAGACTGTCTTCGCTTCCCTGAGGCCTCTTTCCTCACCAGATGGTTTATGCTAACAACGTGCTTTACAGTGAGGGCCCTGGGTATTGCTGCGTCAGTTTGACCTCTGGGGGAGCTGCAGACCAAATAACTAAGGTCAGCCATGACAGCACTGTGATAAGCCACAAATAAAAACCCTGAACACCAAGATTCAGAGAACCTGACCTGGTCAGCACTACTTGACCCATGTTGTCATACATTCTTACTGAGAAAATTAGGCATCATGCATACAAATGCATTAAAGGACTGCTGGAAGCCTCAAAGTCCCTCCTTGACTCTGTCTTCTGGGCCTTCCCGTGGTATGTTTTTCATCCATGTCCTCCTGCTTTGGTAAATGGTAACCATAAGGCTATCAGCTTTATTTCGCTCTGTGAGTCCTTCTAGGGTGTCCTAGAACCTGAGGGTGGCCTTGGGGCCCCACAACAGAGAAAGCCGCACCTGTCGCCATGTTGTCTTCACAATGGCCATGTGATTTAGGTACTGCTAGTCTCAGGGCAGACAAACAAGGCATGGAGAGGTTAAGTAACAGGTCTAGGATCCCTAGCAATGTCACAGAGCTTGTTCTCTTGGGCCTCTCTCATTCCAAAGGAAGGAACTTGGAGCAGAAGTGTATCACGGAGCTGTTGTGTGACTGAGGGAAGTGGGTGTTTAGGACTGGGAACTGGAGAGGTGGGCTGGGTGGTGCAGAGGGGCATCTCTGTACTTATGAGTGCAGATCTGTTGCCTTCACTTGCTCCAGTCTTGTCTGCTGCATAGCCAGGTGTCATCCCTGAAGTCAGAGTCTTGAGATACCCCACAGGATGCCAGGGAAACACTGTAATCCTTCAGTTCTTAAAATAGGCAGACACTTCTTAGAAATGTCATCACCATCCAGGGTGACCAACTTGTCCCCATTTAACTGGGACTGTCCTCATTTTAAAACTAAGTTCTGCATACCAGGAGCCCTCTGGGTGCTGGGCAAACAGGGATGGTTGGTCATCTTGCATCAGTCATAAACACTGTAGGAGGATCCATGTGAGGCTGGGGGTAGGATAAGTCCCAGAAGGATGGGACAGGAAATGAGCTGGCAGGGTCCTGTTCTGGGCCAGTGTCCTTCTGTGCATTCTGGGCCAGAGGAGGCCATGCTACTTGTCCCACAGCAGGAAATCCCGGCCTCTTCGTTTCCTCTCCCCACTCCAAGCCCTTGCCCACAGCTCAGGGTCTTCAGAAAAAGGCCTTTCCTGAGTAACTGTGGAGCTCCTGGAAGACACATAGACCCCTTATTAGGCCACACCTCACTGCTGAGACCTGGTCCTGGAGGACAGAGAGAACCCCTGGGGATGAAGGAACCAGGAAGAAACAGTTTGGGACTAGAGATGTAGCCCAGTTGGTATTATGTTTACCTAGCATGGATGGAGTTATGGGTTTGAGCTCCAGCACTGCATAAACAAGGCATAGTGGCACACTCCAATAATACCAGCACTGGAGAGGTGGAGGCAAGAGGATTGAAGTTCAAGGTCATCCTCAACTACATAGAGAACCTGAGGCTAGCCTGGGCTACATAAGACCCAGAGACACAACTTGCTGCCTTTCTAATCCGGCTCTCCTGACTGTGAACCATGCAGCCAACTGCTTACTTTCTCTGAGCTGCTAAGGCCAGCAGAAGACAAAGTGACAGGTGGCTTTCCTCCCTGCAGTAGCAGAGTTCTCGAAGGTATCCTACAAGCTGTGAGGCTCTGCTTGCCCTCCTGAGCAGTCCCAGCCATCAGAGGCTGTAAGAACTTCAGACATCATTCCAACAAGGGAAACCCTCAGCAGCTAAGGGAGCCCTCCCCAGGACCTTGGCATCTCTATCTTCAGCAAGCTGGGAGGCTGGAGTAAGTGGCATGATGCCTGAGATGCAAGGAAAACAAATGCAGGCTTGAAGTATGCATGGAACTCTGGGTTCAATCCCCAGCACCCCATAAACCAGTTGTGGCGGTGCATACCTGAAATCCCAATATGTGGGAGGCTGAAGCAGGAGGAATGCTGAGCGTTCAAGACCAGCCTGGCCTACCTAGCAAGTAATCAGATAGCCTGGACTACATAGTGAAACCCTGTCTCAAAAACAAGCAACCAAAAAAATTGTAAATCAATGAACTTGAGTGAACTCTACAACCTCTAAGA